ACGTTCACCCAACATAATCATTTGGCAAGTTAACTAGGTAAGGCAGTCCCTATACAATTAAAGGTTTATTTATTGCAAAAGTAACACGACTAATATTTTTTTTCAACATGTATGTGCAAAAATTGTATTGCGTTACTGATACAGTATATTGAATATATATATATATATATATATATATATATATATATATATATATATATATATATATATATATATATATATATATATATTTATATATATATACATAAACGATGGAGTTCTCCGAGAGTAATATCACATACGTACCCTTTTCTAGATATATGCAAAATTAAAAGCAAAGATTAACATACGATAGTACTCCTCCACTAGTGAGCTCATTTACCGAAGCAAATGTCCAGGCCTTGTGACCCTGGATGGGCACTTAAATACGTACGAATGTGTGTGTGTATTCTTTAAGTGCCCATACAGGGTCACAAGGCCTGGACATTTGCTTCGGTAAATGAGCTCACGAGTGGAGGAGTACTGTCGTATGTTAATCTTTGCTTTTAATTTTGCATATATCTAGAAAAGGGTACGCATGTGATATTACTCTCGGAGAACTCCATCGTTTATATATTACCTGAGAGACATAAAATATGTATTTATTTTATTTCCTAATATCTTATAAGATAATCCTAGTAGTTTCTAGGTCATTGCTGTAGCTTTCAGCATTCAGTCACAAGTATTTGACTTATTCATTTACGTATTTCCTGATATTGTTTGAACAATATGGCGACAAGGAGATGAGTTGCGTTGAGACATATTGCTGGATAATTAAAACATAACAGGTAACATTTCATGTGGCGTCACCTTAAATAATCGTACGAATGTGTGTGTGTATTCCTTCCTTTAAGTGCCCATCCAGGGTCACAAGGCCTGGACATTTGCTTCGGTAAATGAGCTCACGAGTGGAGGAGTACTATCTTTGCTTTTAATTTTGCATATATCTGGAAAAGGGTACGTAGGTGATATTACTCTCGGAGAACTCCATCGTTTATATATTACCTGAGAGACATAAAATATGTATTTATTTTATTTCCTATTATATATATATATATATATATATATATATATATATAT